TAATTATTGTAGCAGTACTGATGACAGCCTGAACTCACTAGATGACAATAGACAAATGAATGAAATAATAGATCAACTCAGTAGGATATTATGCTGTCATTAAAATTGAGACTTTAGATAGTAACAGTGAAGCTGATAGCTACGTGTGTGGAATGCTTACTCTGTGACAGGAAGACCAACGGATGTGAACTATCTGATTCTGAGTTCACAACTCCATGAGACGGGTGCTACCGTTGTCTGCATATGACACATGAAAACTGAGGCTAAAATAAGTTAAATCACTTGCCCAAGAGAACTCATCTAAAAAGAACAAGGTTATCTGACTCTAAGCAGGGTTCTCAATCTTAGCACTATTGACATTTTGGGCTGAATAATTCTTTTGTTGTAGGGGACTGTCCTGTGCATTGTAGGAAAGGACATCTCTGACCTACATCACCAGCTGTGAAAATGAAAAATGTCTTCAACTTGTCAAATGTCTCCCAAGGGACAAAAATTGCACCGGGTTGAGAGCCATACTCTAAAGCACAGACTTAACCATTATGCTCCATACCCCCCCCACCCTGCCTTCATCCAGAACCATAGTTTCCTACAGAAATGTATATGGTCATAGGGAGGATTCCCTTAGAAACAGGCTCTCAGACTCTGAGACTGGACTTTAGGGGGTTTGGGTAGGACGGGCAAGAAAGGGCAGTGAGAACCTCACTTGTGAGGAAGCAGGGGAAACAGGCCTGGCAGAGGGAGAGTCGAACTGCCCGCTCATTACCGAGACAGGCCTCTGCCAGGTCTACAGGGAGCCCCAGAGCTGCCCTTACAACTGTCCTGATTGAGACAATGGAGTCTGGCCTATTTTTCTTTAATAAAAACATTTTTTTAAATTGATTTTAGAGAGAGAGAGAGAAACATTGATTTGTTGTTCCAATCATTTATGCATGTATTGGTTGATTCTTGTATGTGCCCTGACCAGGGATTGAACCCACAATCTTGGTGTATTGGGACAACACTATAACCAACTGAGCGACCAGCCAGGGCTCAGGGCCTGGTTTTTATCCACTCCCCATAGATCAATCATTGGATGTGGGTTACCCTTAAGGGGGTGTGTCCTGAAGCAGTGTGGTTCTTCCTGAAACAAGACTAAGGGCAATTCTGAAAAAAGAACAGCTTCCAATACTACCATATCGAAGGACTGAGAGCCTTCTCTCTATACATATTATAAATAAATATACATATAGTATAGTCAAATTATAATGAAACAATCAAAATAGTCATTGTTTCAAAATACTATTGTTTCATTATAACTCAAAGTACATAAGCATAAGAACCAAGACAGGAAAATAATAAGCAAATGAAAATAGTAATACTATAGATATAGTGTTTTTTTCTTTTTTCAAAGTTGAATGCAAAGATGTTGCTATCATACTGTTCTTACCATTTAAAAGAAGTGCTGAGATCTCAGAAGATATAATTCATAGCTTTAAAACACCATATAATATATATTCATGTGGTTATCATGATTCCCAAGCCAGTTTATGTCTCCTAAAGTGCTTCTAAGCACTTTTATATGTACCAACTTATTAAATCTTCTCAATAACCCTAACTAAGGTAGATAGCTTTATTAACTACATTTTATGGAGAAGGAAATTTAGTTTCCACAAGGTGATTCAGTAACTCAAGATCTACATGGCTGGTAAGTGATGGACCTGGAACTTGAAGTCATTACCGTGACTCAGATCCAGGCTGTTACCAACCATGCTTATCGCCTTCCACTTACTTTTATTTCACACAGTGCCCCTGAAGTCCCCTCACAATGACAGTAATTTGTCTTCTCAGATGTCATTTCTTCTTCTTTTTATTTATTGATTGGGGCGGGGGGAGAGAAAGAGAGAGTGATTTGTTGTTCTATTTATTGAAGCATCATTGGCTGATTCTTGTATGTGCCCTGGTCAGAAATTGAACCCACTCTAACCAACTAAGCTACCCAGCCAGGGCTCATTTCTTCTTTGAAAACAAACAAAAAATCCTGCTTAAAACAGTAGAGCAATAAAGCTGTCAATGTAAGAGTAATACTAAGGGACAGAAAATTGCCTTCAAATTTTCTGTTTTAAAGTCTTGTAAGATTTAAAGGTTTTTAGGTGCCAGTGGAGATTGTAATAGTCAAGTTATGCTATTTTCCTTTAAAGAATCAAGTCTCTTCTGCTCTCAACATAAAACAGGAAGTTTTATAGATACCCGTCTGAAGAATGATTCTCTGAGTCAAGGCTCTGCCCTCTCAAGAGACCGAGAAGGGTCTCTCTGGGACTCAGGTAATTCAAGCCAGTTACTAGGAATCATTTGTCATCCTGTGGGGCACTGTGAAAAATCCAGTTCAAATTCATTAGCATTCTGAAAGGTAACATTTCCCCAAAAGATCTGAGTGAATATATATGCTATATTTAAAACATACAGGTAATTAAAAAAAATTTAATTTCAAACCTCAAAAGTGGCCTTTTCTTCCCAGAATGGTCATGGGCTTTACCACAGACAAGCCCTTTAGAACCCATAGGAACGCATGATGTCTGGCCCGGTGAACAGGGCCTTCCAAAGGTCCACAGATGGCTCAGCTCGTTCGATACTTTATTGGAAATGGAATGCATTTTTAAAACATGAAAAATAAATCACATCTCTCCCAATCACTTAAGAGACATATTTACACAAATTCTGACCACACTGAAGTTCACAAATGTGATAGTAAAGCACTTGGTACACGGTGACACGTGTTTCTCAGAAGCATTTGCATGTTCTGAAACGAAGCAGAAGGCTGGCAGTGGAATGTAACAGACAGTAATCATTTATCTTTCTTCTCAAAATAAATACAGTGATCTGGAAAGACCACGTCGCATTGAAATCTGCTTCCTCACTGCCCAGCTGATCACCAGCAGGCCAGCTTCAGAGCAGAGAGGAATAGGCCTCTCCAGCTTTTATGCAGATGTTCCAATGACCCAGAGCCTTTCTGCTTTTCACTGCACAATGGTGCCCTAAGAAAACCCTGCTGGATCCTATACTCCATTTGGCAGATGTCCTGCCAACAAAGTCCCAGACCACTTTGTCATCCAACGTTATGTAAATCCAGACCAGCTGTAAAACATGCAGATCAAAAGGCCACCCTTCAAATTGTGTCCAAACTTCAGAAACTAGTTCTTAAAAACCTATCCAACACAATTTCACAAGTAATGCATTTTAGCTTGCTTTGGGTAAACTGGAATATTTCTCTTAAAAGAATCACGGAATGGATTCAATATCAAGCTCTATAATTTCCAAATTTAAATTTTATTCTGCTGAAGGCATTTTATTGGTAAAGCAAAAAGAAGTTTGACATTTACAACAACAACAACAAAAACAAAGAGAGATGAATGGATGCTCACAGGTCCATCCTTGTCCTACAAAGCTCTAGGTTCTATGGGATTGCTCTCATTTCCCATAAGTCTTAGACCCCTCTTCTAAACCTGCCACTGAACATGATATTGTAAACACTTGCTAAAACCAAGTCACTTTTGCTGGGGACAGAAAACAAGTGATGTGTTTGAACTCCGGCACTGGCACCAGACTTGTAGTGTCAGATTTAAAAGGAGGAATCTTGAAGAGAAATAGGTGTATGAGGGCAGAAAAAGAGTTTTTGAAAAAGGCTTTTGAACTTGAGCTAGACTTCCTAAGTGTTTACATAGGAGAGAAACTCTTCCAAGCACTGAGTTGGGTTTTTCTACCTCTATTTGAAAAAACGTTAAGTGAAATTATAAAGTTGGTTTGATTTTTATGAGAAAATTCCAGCTTCCTCCGAGGGAAATGTTCATTTTGAAAGGGCCCTTTATAGCCATTTACTCTGACCTCAGCATTCCGGGTTGGACATAAACAGGACTGGGATTTCCGCTAAGAAAGTGTGCCCAAGGAGCTTCCTCATGTCCTGTGGCCTGTCCCAGCATTAGTTGTTCTCAGGGAATGAAATGAGCGTGAAGGAAGCACAGTGTGAGGCAAGAGAAACCACCTCCTGGATGCCGGGAAGTTACACATTTTTTCCCTCTTTCATTCATTTGTCCCAACAAATAGTTATTCAGCTGTGTGCGAGGCTTAGTGCCAGCAGAAGTTCAAAGACAAAAGTTCAGTTTCCAGATGGGACATTCCTTTTAATTTTCCAACTTTGTACAGTTTATGTTTAAGGGGTGGTTTTCCTGTTGGACCTCCCCTTTCCTTCTTCCTTTTCTTGGGCTGAAATACGTACTTTTATCATTTTTCATGCAGGTGATTGGTTAGGCCTTTTGATACCGTAGGTGGTTGATGTCCCTTTTTTACAGGTAGACTAGAACCACTGACACATTAAAGATTTGCATTTGTAGTTTGTTTTGTTGAGCTTTGTCAAGCATAGTTGTTTCTTTGTTCTGGAAAAATTATTCACGCACAATAAATTCAAAACACAGAAGCCACCCTACCCCTCTCCCTTTCTCATTTCTGAGGCTTCACAGTTAAATGCTAAGAAACCTTCGGACCAGAGAGCCACTGGAGAACCACAACTCAACATAAAGATCACAGCAGACCAAGCACAAGAAGGCTGTGGAAAGACAGGACACGGAACCATGATTCTGGTGGGTCCAATAAGAACCGTAGACATTGCCCGGCCGGAGTGGCTTAGTGGTTGAGTGTCGACCCAAGCATGAAGAGGTTGCTGGTTCGATCCCCAGTCAGGGCACATGCCCAGGTTGTGGGCCAATCCCCAGTGGGGGGCATGCAGGAAGCAGCCGAATGATGTTCTCTCTCATCGATGTTTCTATCTCTCTCTCTCCCTCTTCCTTTCTGTCTCTCTCAAATTAATAAAGAAAAAAAAAAAAAACTAAAAAAAAACCGTAGACATTGTGGGGAAAAAATTCCACCAGCCAGTACTGAGCCTATATATAAGCAAACAGTTCTACATGAATCTTAATTTTAAAAGTACTTGGTGTGAATATTATCTTTTTTTTTTTATAGCACAGGAATTTGAAAGAAAAAAATCCTTCTTTCTGGAAAAAAGCTGTGGTTTAATAGGGGTTATATGATCTACGTATATTAAAACACCAGTACAGTGAGGTATCATCTAAAGTACAGTAGGGGCTCCAAACAGGCCAAATCAAACTTGGTTTAAGAACTCTTTAGATTTGGCTTTCTGAGCTGCCCATGCTGTGTGTGTGTGTGTGTGTGTGTGTGTGTGTGTGTGTGTGTACACATACTATATATATGATCTTTAAAACCTTTGCAGCATATGTTCACAGCCACAACTTAAATAGCCACTGAAAGTGGGAGTCCACTTGAGTTCTGTCTGCCATTTACGCAGGTTTTTGGATTGGAGTTATGGCCTCAAAATTCCATCATTTAAACATTGCATTAAAAAGTAATTTGACCAGGCAACTCCTTTCTAGATGGAGGGAGAATAAAGACATCTCTAGCATAAAATTCTGTTTTCATTTCTTGACTCTCTAGAACTTAGCATTGACCTAATACTGACCTTTCCAGTTTGGATGCTGGAAAAATACTGATCAAGATTTTACATAAGATAATGGGAAACAGAGACCTATTAGTAAAGCCATGCAGATAGGAAGTGATTTTCAGCCCCAAGAGGATTTTGTATCATCTATGGTTCGTTTTAAACTGAAGTCACATCTGCCCTTGTGGATTGTGACCATCCTTTTGATTTAACACAGAAGAGTGTTTGTTCTACCTTTAAAAGCACACCCCCACCCCAAGCCCTCATGAACAAGTAGCTGCCGAAACAAGACTGGGGTTGTTTTGCCACTGAAAATCCGGTGTTTATCCAGTCCTTCCTTTTTCAATTTCTGAGTTTAGTTAACCTAACAACAAAACCTATAACCCTCCAATTTCTCACAGAGCAATAAAAAGCAAAACAGCTGTTTCTCTGACCAACATTATTTGCAGTAAGAAAATGAAGAGTTATGTGAAATAATCACACACTGTACTTTTAAACTCTAAGATTCTAGGGTATGCTTCTAGACTAAAGTAAGAAAATGTGGTTCAAGTAAAGTGTGCAAAAGCCCTTGGAGAAGGGCAATCTCTAGTGTGTTAGAGAACAAATATGTTCTCTAACAAGTTGAATGATTCTCTTTTCCCCTACTAGGTTTTTTTTTGAAATGAAACACCTAATGCATTTATCATCAGAAACCATAGAAATCTCTTCATTCAACCCTTCACAGATGATATAAGCAAGGTTTTTCCTTCAGTAGACCCAGCCCTACCACACATTCCAGATCATCCTGCCATCAGTTGGGTGTGCTTTAAATATTTTGAATTAGATATCATTACTACTTATTTCCTTTTAGAAAAACAATTAGATTTTCATAATTACACAATTCTGAATATTTAGCTTCTTTATACTTCTACACAACATATATGTCTAAGGAGGAAAAAAAACCCTCAAAAAAAAGTTATATCACAGAGTTTAATTTCAACCACCTGGCATAACAATGAGTGTCAGGGTTCTGAAAATGCCCTAGAAATATATGAATGAATTTTTAGTGCCTTCCCCTACACCACCTCTTTTTCCTTGCCAAGATTAGAACTTACTAGAGAAATGTTTTTGAAAATAAAGTTCCTTTTTTGGAAAATGGCCTACATTCAGAAATGTCTTAGAACAAATATTTTTTTTAAAAAACAACTAATAAATAATCATAAATCAAAATACATTAAAATAAAATTACAGTACATCATCGATCCTAGAAGGTCCACCACACTGGAAGGTCCTTTCAAAGGTTCATAAATAAAGCCTTCTGGACTTGAAATTATTTCCTGCATTGTGATGAAGAGTATGCAGAAAACTAAGAGGGAACACAAGTTATCAATCGGGTGATGTCCAAACTACTTGATCTGGTGCAGGGCAGGGAGACTTGTTTTCGATCCAGGTGAAGACAATAGAAAGGTGTTCGTCCCACTTCCTCAAGTCCTCAAAACCTGGAAAGAAAGGACACGGAATGAAGCAGGTGGCTCAGATTCCTCCAAGACCCAGTTCTCTTCGGGCAGTCTGGCGGACAAAGAGGTGCTCGCTAAGATACCAGGGTCGCTCCTTCGTGTGCCCAGACACGGCAAGAGCCAGTGGTGCCGCTGGGGTGCACACCACTGAACCTGTGCAGGGCAGGGTGGGCAGGGTGGCGGTCCACCAGGCCTCCTTGCCTGGCCTGAGTCCCACACCCTCCCCTCTCTGCCCGGTCTCTCCTGGCTCCTGCTTGCTTCTCTTCTTTCCACCTACCGAAAAACTTGAAATAACTTCTTATTTTTCCACCCAAGAGCCAACCACATGAACACGCTTCCAACTCCTCGGAACAGCCCCGAGACCTCCTTCGCGTGGCCCTCGGTAGCCGGAGTTGCCGGGACCTTACCTTGTCTTGCCCGGGTGCTGCCCCCTTCAGGCAGAGTTGGAGGTGCTGCGGAGAAGCCGGTGGCCGTGCTGCTGCGAAAGCGGTTGTTGGTGCGGGTGCGGTAGTTGATGCGGATGCTGGTGCGGGTGCGAGTGCGGATACGGATGGAGCGGCTGGGGCTTGGGTTGGAGCTGAGGCTGGGATTGGGACGGGGGCTGGCACTGGGGCTGGGGCTGGGGCTGGGGCTGGGGCAGGGGCTGGGGTTGGGGCAGGGGCTGAAGCTGCGGCTGCTGTTGCTGGACCAGGTGCTGCTGCTTCTGCCGCGTGGACTTGACCGCCAGGATAGCTTGGCGATTCTTGTACTGCACCATCTGCAGCGTGATCTCGGCATTCCAGCCTTGGTCCTGCGGGCACCGAAAGTCGATCTCCTTGCCCTCGGCCATCACCACAGTGAAGTACATATACTTGCCCTTGCGCTCTACGCAGTCCACGGTCTTCATGTTGGAAAAGTGCAATTCCTTGAGCTTGACCGGCGGCTCGAGGCTGGCCACGGCGGGGCCTCCGGGTTGGGACGGCTCGGCCGGCCCCTGCCCAGGCTGTTGCTGTTGCTGTTGCTGGTGGTGTTGGTGTTGCAGCTGCTTAGGCGGGATGAGCAGGAGCCCCTCCTCAGTGAGGATGCAACACTTTTTCTTCCAGAGCTGCAGCAACCCGTCGCTTCGCTTCTCCAACACACCCTCTTTCAGCGCCTTGCAGCCGCTGCTCTCCAACATCTTCTCGGCATAGGAGGGGGCGCCGCTCGGTTCGGCCTCTCCACTTCCCGCCGCCCGGGCCGGGGGCAGCAGCAGCCGCCGCGCTCCGTCCTCGCCCCAGCGGCTTCCGCGGCCGCCCGCCCGGAGCGCGCAGAGGAGGCTAACGCGCAGGAAGCAGAGCGGCGGCGGCCCGGGGTCCCGGCAGAGGGGCAGCCGCGTCCTGATGCGCCACAAGGTCCCGGAGCTGCGAGCCGCCGGGCCTCTGCCGTCCTCTTGCGAGCGCTCACTGAAGGGCACTGGCCGGGCCCCCTCGCGGCGCTTTTGAATGGGCCATCTCCCCCACCCCCGAGTGACACCCAGCGGAAAAGGCGGCTCCTGGCGCCCGCAGCACGGGGGAAAGCCCAGCTCTGAAAGGCGCTCAGCCGCCGGCGCACGCCTCATTAACTTGGGGCCTTTCCAAAACCCGCCGCGTCCACGCCCCCCGCGTCCCTGGCTCCGCCTCTCACCGCCCACTCGCTTCCGCGCTTCTTCCCGAGGATGACCGCAGAGACCCGAGCCCGGGAAACTCCCCTTCTCCGCCGGGGGCGACAGTCCAGAGGACCCCAGCTGCCAGGCGACAAATACCGACGCCCAGAGGGCGCCGACAGGCCATCTCCACCGTCCCGCCTCTCCCGGCCGGCGGGGCAGTCGGCTAACAGCTCAGAAAATGAAGATGGGCTGTGAGCTGGGCACAGCTACCAGACAGTGCCTGGAACGCCAGCCTCTCCCGCCCACGGGCAGCAGGCCTGGGAATTCGCGCTGGGCCCCGGAGGCCCGCAGAGCCCGTGTCCGGGCCTGGACGCGCACGGAGGCTGGGGATGAGGTTCTCGGGCAGCGGAGTCCCTCGGAAGTGTGCCCTCCCCCGGCCCTACGTAAACGTCTCAGTGCACAAAGGCCGGGAGGACACGGCGTCCTTACACTCATATTTGCTCCTGGTCATTAACTGGGTCTTCTTGGGACAGAGAACGTGGTTTTTAAAGCAGTAGCGCTACAGTGTGTCCCGTTTGGTAGGGGTAAAGGGAGGTGACCTCAGATGGCATCTCGCCTTCTTTCTCTCTATGGGGAGCGCGGACAGTAGCCTGTCTTCACCCTGGACACAAGCTCTCCAGCTTCCTTCTTGACCCATCTGTACAGTCTGCGACATCTCACAACAGTAAATCAACTCGAACTACAAATCCGGGGAATGTCCGGTGCGAGACTACACTTCAAGGCACAGCTTAGCCTTTCAAAGGGCAGACTGGCCTCCGTGGATCCCTCCCTTTACAAATGCCTACAGGCCAGATCTGGTTTGTAATCTTATTTGTGACCTGGGACAGGTAACGCGGCCCTTGCCCCTAGTTCTCTCCTACGTACACATTCAACCAACTTATATTGAAATTCGGAGAAACAAAGCAGAATAAAGGGCATAAACCGAAACCAAACCTCTTGGTGGGGATTCATTTATTAAGTAAACAGAGAACCCCAGCTATGGACTGACCTTGAGGATATGAAGAAGAATCAGGCGCAGAAGAAATAAACCAGGGGTAGACAAGTCAGAATTGGCAGAGTAAGAGGAAAGGCGGCCACTTGTGCCCAGAAGGAAGCAAAGAGCTGAAGCTCATCTGCTGCTGCTATGGCTGGAACAAAGAACTCAATAGGGGAAGAAGTGAGAGATGAGCTTGGAGAGCTGAGCAAAAGTCAAATCCTTTGTACTATGATAAGAAATTTGAATTTAACCCCAAGGTAACTGAGAACAAAAGATAACTTTTAAAACAGGAAGATCCTGAATCTTATCTAAGAAACAATGTTTTAGCAAATGGGACAATTCCAGCACAATCCTGAGTCCCACTGAATTGCAGCTGGCGGGTTCTCAGGACCTGAGACATTGTTCATGGATTAGCAGTCTTTTAAAGAAAAAGGCAGTTATTAAAATTACATAAAGATTTTTAGTAAGATTGTTAAAAAAAAAAAAAAAAAGATAATCATTCTGTATACCAATAACGAGCACTCCACTGCACATCTCAGTTCATTCCTAGCCTTTGTAGGACGAGTGAGCATTCCAGAGAATTTCTACATGACCAGCTGTTCATCTTTTCAACAGAATGCCATTCTTCAGCTCATTTGGAAAGGATACTTCCTTTAACTGTGTAATTCAGAATTCCTGAGGGCAGGTGGATTTGGGAAACACACTTCATATTAAAAAAAAAAAAAAAGATACAATACAAACTTGATTGGGTGAAAAATAAGATGTAATCTGGAAGCCCCAGTCATTTCCTCAGGAGAAATTCAATATAGCTGGTATTATCTAACCTGCATTTCATCAAGATGCAACAAATACATTCTATCTAAATTACTTCAGAACATCTGAACAAGCACAGTTTTCGAAAGCACTTATTTTATTGTAACTAGACACTTTAAAACTCAGGATTTCCAGTTGGCTATTTTCACAACTTAGTGACTTTGTGACCAGCTCAGAAGTAAGGCCCTCTCTGACCACAGTGCATTGATTACTGGAAATCTCTATAGTATAGAAATCTTGAAGATAGGAACAGCTTTGATTATAATTTATTCCAACAGTCACCACCAACTCACAAAAATGGTCATATTGGCAATGACATAAATTCACAAAAAATGAGTTATAGGAAATAACTGTTTCCAAAGACACTACAAGTTCAATTGTAGATATAATGAAAACCTATGAACATCATTTAAAAGTTACTAAAATTTAGAAAGCTAGCTAACAAAATCATTGCTTTGATAAATTTGAAATGGCTAATTCAAATTATGTATTATGGTTGGCTGCATCAAGTGGTCTTATCAGTAGCATCTGACAGTTGATCATTTCCTCCTCTTGGATATAGTGCTTCACTTGGCTTAAAGGACATTACTCTTAGTTGTCCTTCTACCTCCCTGTCACTGTCTCAGTCTCCTCCACAGGGCCCCCTTCGTCCCAATCTTTTAATATTAGAGTGTTCCAGAGCTCAGTCCTTGGTTCTCTATCTATTCCCACTCCCTTGTTGATCTCATCTAGTCTCATCATTTTCAATAACCTCTATACACCAGAGACTCCCAAATAATACCCAACTACTTGCTGCCAAAGAATAAAACAAAGACTACCAAAGTTAAAAAAAAAAAAATAGAAATACTAATATGTCAGGCAAAGGAACACACTAGTGAAGACATTCACTGAGTGTTTCGCTAGATGAAAAACTTTGAGGGTGTCTTAGGTCTTAGAAAGCAGGGTTCATAGAGTGTTTGCTAATAAAAAATGGAAAAATAATGCTCTAGATAGGATGGAGTCCATAGGTTTATATACGACGGGTTAAAAAAATTCCTGGATGGAATTCACTCAGTAAAGTTCTGGAGTCACTTCAAGTTCGTGGTTTTTTAACAGCTTTAGCTGGTTAGAATGGTTGTAGTGAAAACAGCCTTCAGTCTTGTTTGATATATTATAGGCCAGTATTACTGTAAATTAAAAAGTTCTCATTTACCCTTCTCTACAGTACTATATGGATGTCTAATAGAGAATTCAGATATATGTGCACCTGCAGCCCCCTTCTCAGTTGATGGCAATACCATCTGTACAGTTGTTCAGGCCAAAAACCTTGGAGCAGTACTACCCTTATAACAAGCCAAAAGAGGCCGTTACCTAGAGCCCTGAGCTTTAGGAGAGTCAAAATGACATGCCTACCTAAAGTTCACTCATTCTAGACTATACTCCGGGTACTCAGGATTCCAAAGACACTGCCTAAATGGCCTTGCCTGTTCCAGAGTATGCCTGTCACCAGTGTGTGCACTGGTGTAGAAGGGTGAATTTTGAACTTGCAGGCTAGGATGTCTACACACATATGCACAAGGGCCCTGGCCGGTCTGGCTCAGAGGCTGGAGTGCCAGCTGCAAACTGAAGGGTCATGGGTTTAATTCCTGGTCAAGGGCATGTACCTGGGTTTCAGGTTCAATCCCCAGCCCCGGTTGAGGTTGTGAGGGAGGCAACCAGTTGTGTCACTCTTGAATCAACACCCCACCCCACCCCCAAGCCCTTTCCACTCTGTCTAAAAATCAATGCAAAATATCCTCGGGTAAGGATTTAAAATAAAATAAGTAAATAAGTAAAAATAAAAAATGTGCAGGAGGCCTGCTGCCCTACAATTCAGAGCCAGGGATGGGAAGAGAAGGAAGGTGGGACATGGGCTAAGGATCAGCTCTGTTCACAAGTAATGTTCTAGCCCTTGACTTTAAGAATCTGAAATTCAGACCTGGCCCTCCCAGTACTTATAAAGGTATATTTGTCAGGATAGGAACACTGGTATGTTTTCATTTAACAAACAAATTATTTAACCATTGGTGCATCTCCATTGTGCTCTTGCCCCAGGATTGCAAATATTTAGAAGCATGCCTGCCTTGCAGTTACCTTTTACTCGTTTGTCCTGATACCCAACCCACAAATTGCCAGGAAATCCCATCAGATAAGTCTTCAAACTACATCTGTTTCATTCATTTTCTTCAAATCACCAACATCTCTTTCCTGAATTACTGCAGAGGGCTCCTAACTTGTCTCTCTGATACTAACACTATTGTCTTATAATCTGTTTTTAACACAGCAGTCAGGGTCATCCTAATCACTTTGTTCAAGTCTGCTCAAATGTCCCCTCAACGGGGCCTATCCTAATCACTCTAAAAATTGCAACCACCCAATTCCCCTTAATTTTCCCTATAGCATGTGTTACCTCCTAACATACGATTGAATTATTATGCCTATTGCGTATTTCTGTTCCCCTTATAGAATGTAAGCTCTTCAAGAGGAAAAAGATCATTGTTTTGATGTATCCCAATCACCTAGTACAATTCTTAGTACATAGTGGGGACTCAACATATGTAGAAATTTTAAATTGAATCAGAAGCCCCTGATATAAAAAGAAAATCAATGTCTTTGCATGTTTTTGACAGATTTTTCATAATGCATCCTACTTTAAAATTTTTTCAAACTGTGAAAGACTTCATGAAAAAACTTCCCAAACTTGCCATACCAATATATATTTGGTATTTTTAAATTATACCTACACATGCTAGGTCTCTCTTTGAATTTAAATGCTATTTATTCTATAGATGGTATCTAACCTTTCCTTTTCCAAGCTACATGCAATTTAATATTGCGATAGGTATTTATATAATCATTCTATTGATTTCTAGAAAAAGTAATCAAATGATGAGAAACACAATAATGGAATGGAATTGGCAGCAATTTCTCTTAGCAGTTAAATGGCCAAATGCTTGCTTAAAAATCTATTAATTAATACTGGCTTAAAGATATTTGATTTCATAGAACTTGAAAGGTTATTAAGAAGTGCTTACTTTCATTTATGACTTGATTTACAATATCATAAAAAAATTTAATCTATAAACTTCCTAATTTGCAATATACA